ACCGGGAAAGGTTTGATGTTAAGGGACCATTCCAAAGAGTTTTGGCACAACTTGTAATTTTTTGTTTCGAAATCTAAAATATGAACAATTGGGAAGTATAGTTTGACATGCACTGTGAGGCAGAGGAAATAGGCTTAAAATAGTAAAGAACTTGGGTTAGGTGGGTGACATGGTATTATCAATGTATATGGATTATGTATCATGTATGTAGTTGGGGGGTGAACCTATCCGTGCGTATTTAGACATGACATGTACAATTCTTGGCCCTTTAAATATTTATATTATTTCATAATCTTATGAATTTTGTGTTTGTGTTGAGTAAAGGAGCATGAAACTTTTTTTTTTGGTTACATTGGGAGGAAAGAAACCCTGGGTTTCGATCCTGGATGCCAAGCAAAGGGGAAGGGGGAGGGCCACAACCACTGTGGTAACCCCGGTTGTCAAAGGAGCAAGAAATTTTAGTACATCAAAGGGATGATCAAAACCAGTGAAAGTGTCAAGGATCCAATAAAGTAGAAACCTACACTTTACCAACCCAAATATTCTTTGCAAAGGATGACAACGAATTCAGTTCAACAATGCCTCAAGAAACGAATAAAGTCGAATAGGACTTAACACTATTTTCCAAACCAAAATGTACAAGCTCATCTTAAGATTGAGAGTGTGAATCCCAAATCAGTTTTCACATTGGAGAATTAGAGTTTTGCCTAATAGTTTGAATAATCTTGGGCCATTTCACCAATTGTCAATTGATTGAATTGAACGCTCACATTCTAATATAGTTTGAGAAAACACCACAAGTTAAGAGCATAAAACTTTAGCACACGAAAGTATGAAAAATCAATGAAAATGTGACGAATCCAATAAAGTAGAAACCCACACTTTACCAACCAAACATTCTTTGGCAAATCATGCCAAGGAACTTAGTTCACGAATGCCTCAACAAACGAATAAAGTTAACAGATGACTTAGGTTAAGTTCTATTTCTTGGTTTTTGATTATTTGTTAGATAAAATTAAGTCTAGATGGCGATATGTTATATTGTCCTTTTGTTGCAACTTACATTATGATGGACACATTATTGAAACCCTTAATTATTAATTAATGGGGACTAATTAGTAGTGATGGGACTGTCTATCTGATACTATTATTGACCAGACCCTAAATTAAAAATAAAAAATAAAAAATAAAATAATGGGGACTAATTAGTAGTGATGGGACTGTCTATCTGATACTATTATTGACCAGACCCTAAATTAAAAATAAAAAATAAAAAAAAATAAATAAATAAACAGATGCAAAAGGCTAGAGAATGATCAAACACCAAGACAGGGGTTTGTCATTTCCATGTCGATTAAAAAATATTTAACTTTGTTATCCAGAGAGAATTTGTTGTAACTTATAAGTTGTAACCGATAGTCTTGAATGCCTGCTCTGGATTGGACTTAGATTTGGGCTGCAGAGTTATCAATTCTTCCCCCAAATAAGTGTGCAGCACTTCTAGGGCCAGAAGTATTTGACTGCTTAGGTTCCGTTTCTAGGCCTAAAGTTGTTGCTGATTCTTACGGATAGAAGTTTGTTGCAGCCCAAGTTCTCATAACTCCACCTCAATTGCGTGAATTACACCGATATTGTCTCAAACTTAATCAGATCTAATACATCAGAAAATAATGATACAGCATAATATGAAGCTCACCACATTGAAATACAAATATACTCATATTGTAAAACCCTATATTTATTTATTAATACTACACCCTAAGTTTTTGGGAAACAAACACTCTAGAGATGTTTTCACTTTGAAGGGGGGAGGGAGCCACTGTTCTTCCTCCTCTCTCCCCTTTTCCCTTCCTCCCTTCTCCTCTCTTCCCCCATTTTTAGGGACATAAGATTTTCCCTATTTGTCTTCGTTTTGTTATGATTTTCATCCACTCATCATAGGCGGATGCATCTTGGCATCAAATCTTCACCTGCGTTTCGATGTCAGATCTCTATCACCATCCTTTTTGCTGTTTCTTCATATTTGGAATAAGTCACATAGACTCTTTGAGTTTTTTTGTGTAGTTTTCACCTATCATTTTGTGAGAGTTTTTCACTTCGCCTTTGTAAGAGCTTTCCCCTTCTCTTCTATGAGAGTTTTATTTGTATTGTTATGACTTGGTTTTTTTAAGCTTTATATATATATTTTTTTGTCATGAGTTCGCACTTTTAGTTTTTTTTTTTTGTGGTCGTAATCAATCATGTTAATTCAAAACTCATAAATGGGGAGGAAACAAAACAGAGAATACAAAAGCCGAAATTGCTAGCTAAAGGAACAAATTACCACAACCACAGAGAAGATTAAACTAAAACCAGTACAGTCTAGTATAATAGTCTTCCCCGTCACAAAATCAAACCAAATTACAATACAAAGCCACCGTCACCTGCAAAGGGGACGAAGACCTCACCATAATGGCCACAAAGGAGGGGATACAATACACAGGTCAGTATTGCTGCACATAGAGACCCACCGATCTTCCACCAAAAACAGATATTCCCAAAAAATCGGAAACACATCAGCCCTCGAACGTTCCTCCCAAAGTCACACTCTCCAATATACCCAAATTTGCCAATGCACCTAAGAGAAAATAACAACCAATCACAACACCAAGGTATATACCAAAAGACCAACACCAAGAGAATGGAGAGTATTGGTGCAAGCACCAGAGCAAGAACCGTAGCAAAAGCTCTAAATACAATCCGAGAAATGAGCAACAAAGCACTTATAGGTATGGTTGTTGTATCCCAAAGGAGAATCCAGATCTGGAAAGAAGATAAGGCAAAAAGAGGATGAGAAGTTGAGGAAGAAATAATTTTGGTTGAAGGGGTTGTTTGGAGGAGAACGAAGGACACAAAATTGGCATGAGACATTTAATCTCAGCACAGAGAACAAGGCTCAAGCATACACAACATAGGGGAGAAGCACCCAACTCTCATAGAGAGCCATAGATACAGCCAAATAGGCTCAAACTGAAAGAAGACCAGCTCCACCAAAAAGCCCAAGGCAAGGGAGAAGGGGAGGTAGCAGAAAGAGAGAAAGAGCAAACCAGATATGGGAAAAACAAAAACTAACAAAAAGGAAAAATGAAAACCGAAAAAAAACAACAAAAAAACTGAAATTGCTCTGCAAAAACAGAGAAGCTCCCCAAGAGGTGGAAGATGAATGAAAAGGCAGGAGAAAAGGGAAGAATGAGCTACATAGAAAAGAAAGAGAGAGGAAGAGGAGGAAATAAAAGAGAAAAAACCAGAAAAAAGGTGGAGGAAGAGAACAGAAAAAGAGAAAAGAAAGAGGGAAGAAAGGGGGTGGATTATGGGGAGAAGGGATGAGGGAGGAATGAGGGGAGAGGGGAGGAGGGTCAGTGACCACATTCCCCCCTGAGCGGTGCTGAAGCAAAGGGGCTAGGGTTGGGAGGAAAATCACTTCTGTTTAGAGAGAGAGGAAGGGTTTTGAAAAACAACAAATTTGTTTGCACTCTTAGTTGATATGTCTATGTCAGAGTTTCTTCGATCCTAAGTGATCGTTACTTGAGAGGCCTCAAATTTTTTTAATTTTGATGTTAAATCGCTCCGCTATTGTAATGGCATTTTGTGATTAGTTGTCACATCCAGTATCGGTTCCGCCATAGCACGATATTGTCCGCTTTGAGCCCCCCTCTCTGCCCTCACGGTTTTGTTTCTAGGAACTCACGAGTAACTTCCCAGTAGATCACCCATCTTAGGATTGCTCTAGCCCCAACTTGCTTAACTTCGGAGTTCCCATGAATCCAAAGCCAATGAACTTAGAAATATTTACGATTTTGCCACTGATACATTTTTTATCGTAACTTCTTTGTTACAACTCTGATTTGAGCCCACTACATGTCTACAGACTCATCTCAACGCGCTCTACGCAACGGTACAATTAAAATTCCCAAATTCTTTCGCGAACAAAAAGTCAACTTTTAATCCGTTAAAATATTCTTATGGTAAAATCGTCTTTTTCTGGAATAATTTAATATTTAACTATTAAATTAGGACCGGGTTGTTACACTAGTGACTTTTTTAGTTGTACTTTGAATGCAATTCCAAAATTTCTATTAAAAAAAAAGTCCATGACAAATAAATTTATCAACCACTCATATGTTATGATAACATGTGAATTGCAAATGCGGGCGTAACACCCAATAGTTTCTGGAGAATCAAACCAAATCGATTTTGGATGCAAATAAGTAAGATACACGTGTACCTATTCGATGTCAGATCTCTATCACCATCCTTTTTGCTGTTTCTTCATATTTGGAATAAGTCACATAGACTCTTTGAGTTTTTTTTGTGTAGTTTTCACCTATCATTTTGTGAGAGTTTTTCACTTCGCCTTTGTAAGAGCTTTCCCCCTCTCTTCTATGAGAGTTTTATTTGTATTGTTATGACTTGGTTTTTTCCTTAATGGTCCCCAATCTGACTTCCATCATCCCACTGCCAAGTGTCCAGAATCCGAATAATATAAAAAGCCCAAAACTGAGTACTGCTCCGAATAATTTCAAACCACCACCGTCCTCCATCCGCAATATCTCATTTTCTAGTGCGGACCTTGTCCTTTCAAACCCTACCAAAACCCATGAAACAGTCTAAAAAGTAAAGGTTGGGCTCATTGATTTGATTAATTTTATGAAAATGCAATGGCCATGCCTATCTACCTTCTATGACTTGTCCATTCAGAGATAGAACTTCTCTGGTCCCCCATCCACCAAAATGAATTTCAACTTAGAAAATTATTTTTATAGCAAACACAAAAAGAACATTTTTTTTTCTCCCACGTGGGTTTTTGTATTTCTGGAACCTCTTCCACGTTTAACATTCAACAACGTTTAAAATCAAGACACAACACCACTGCATGAAACATGGTCACTTTCGTATCATTAAATCTTTGTTTCGATCTATAGCTATAGCTATAAATGTCCCTCCTCTGCAAACCCTCCAAAATTCTCCATCAACATTAATATGACAGATTTTACAGACGACGCTTCGTCGTCCTCGTCTTCGAATCGAGTTTCAGCTCAAGCCCACTTGCGGAGTGGAGAGTTTAAGAAGAGGAAGGCAGGGAGGAAGAAGTTCAATGAGACAAGACACCCAATTTACAAAGGCGTGAGGCAAAGGTGTGGAAAATGGGTTTGTGAGCTGAGGCAGCCTGATCAGAAGAAGTCGCGGATATGGCTGGGGACCTTCACCTGCCCTGACATGGCGGCTAGGGCTTATGATGTAGCGGCTTTGGCCCTCAAGGGAGAGTCTGCTGCTTTGAACTTTCCTCATGAGGCAAGTACCCTGCCACGCATTGCGTCCACGTGTTCTGTTAAAGACCTACAGTCTGCTGCTGCGGAGGCTGCTGAGGGTTTTTTTGAGGTTGAAGTTAAAGCATCGGGTTTGAAGGAGAAGGAAGAAGAGCCGAGAAGAGAAGTTGTGTATTTGGATGAGGAGGAGTTGTTTAACATGCCGGGGTTGATTGACAGCTTGGCTGAGGGTTTGATTCTCACTCCACCAGCCATGCAGAAAGGTTTTAATTGGAATGATTTTGATGATGATATGGAGAATGTTGTTGATTTTTCCTTGTGGAATGATTGATTCTTTGAAAATAATTATCAGCTAGACTTGTAATGAATTCTTAATTACACATTGTCTGGGAAGAATTTACCCAAAAAAATTATATCCAAACAATTAAATTTTGCAAAGTATGTTTGCCAAAGTGATCCCATGTTGGATTCTTCATGAATGAAGAAAAAGGGAAACAAGAAAATGAGTGAGATCAGTTTGTTTTATGATTTAGAGGGTTGAAATATAATTTCATGTTTCTGAACATAAATCCCTATTTCTAAGAAAATAAAAATGGAAAATAATTTCATTTTCTAAGTTGGTGTTTGTTACCAACCAAAGAAAACAATAGATTAGGTGATCTGATTCTGATGATGGATGGATTCAATTATATGGTTTGTTAGTTTGGATTGTTTTCTGCATATCATCAGTGAGTCTTATTTGTAGGTTGTATAATTGCTAATACATAAATGCTAGTCATACCACAATGTGGTATACAAATTAATGTGGTATGCCTAGCAAAGTCATTTTATAGTGAGGGCCTTATCTATAGCCCTTAGGTAAGGTCCTATATCTTAATCATTGGATCAGGTTAACCTATTTGATCAAACAACTAACCAATTTGATCCAACAATTGAGAAATAGGGCCTCACCCAAAGGCCATATATAAGGCCCGCACTATAGAATTCTTGATGCTTAGCATTGCTCGTTTGCATATAGCCACATACTTGTTCTTCTAAGTTTCAAATAAGTTTTTTTTTTTTGGGGTAACAATAGGGGCTAAGAGCCTAGAACAACATGACTACGCACAAAAAACACGGGACCTGGACACCCCAATAGCATCCGCAGCCAAACAATTCACAAGAAAAGCTGGCACCCCAGTAAAAGACTGCACCCCAGGGCCAAACTTAGAACTCTTAGTAACCAAGACATCAACAGTCACATTCTGCTCCCTAAAGATATGCTTAACTGAACATCTCCAACCAGCTTGAATCTTTAACTTGCAACAACTAAAAAGGCTGAAAACGGGGTGCGTGGAAATAGTAGAGCTAGAAAGAAGAGCCACAACCACACTTGAGTCACTTTCTACCTCCACAAAACGAAAGCCAAACTCCCAAGCCAAATAAAGCCGCCAAAATATGCCCCACAACTCAGCTTCAAGAACAGAACCAACACCCAGGTTCACATAGAGAAGCACTTAATCCAACACCATAATTATCGGGCTATGACACACAATTGTTTTATCGGGCTAACAAAAATGGGCCATTGGTTGCTAATAACGGGCTTTCAATTTAAAATACAACAATAAAAACAAAACAAAAAGATACTTGAGCCTGGTTTGTCGGCGTTATTTGGAAATTTCCTCAGACGCTCGAGCCTACAACGCGAACCACGAGCAACGCCTCAAGAACGAAGCCAACACACAAACGGTACAAATTCTCATCCCTTTCCTCTTCTCTCTGCTATATCACTCGCCCTCTGTGATTATTGGATATTATTTCAAATTTGTACAATATAAGCTTAGATTGGTTTCAATATTAATTCAAACTTGTTTTCTCTGATTTTGGTTCAATTTGTGATGGATTTGGGGTTCAATTTTGACTGGGTTAGGGTTTCTCTCTCAGATAAAGGGTTAGGGTATCCATGAGTGTTCAGCTTTGACTGGGATAGGTTTTCTCTCTCTAATATACTGCATCAGCATGTTACTGATACAGAGCTTTTGTATCCATGAGTGTGCTAGCTCCTTATTAAACCAATGGTATGTGTGATATATATGTAGCCTCCTGAATTATGCTGTCATATTCTGGAATTTAATATGTAGTGGTTTTGGCAAAACAGTGTTTTATGGATAAGTAATAAGTTTTATGTATTGGGATCTTTACTGTTGGAATTTTGTTTGTTTGTTCGTGATCATAATGTTATGAATTGCTTGCTGACAGTGAGTAAAAGTGTTTGACTAATTATAAATCAAATGGAAGCCATAGAGCTCTGGCTGTGCTTGTTTCAAAGGGGTTTGGATGTTTGAAAATAAATGTTTGCTTCCCAAATGAATATGAATGTTAGGGCTTTCATAAATTAGAAATCGATTTTATAGCAAACACAATATTTCTGGAACCTCTTCCACGTTTAACATTCAACAACGTTTAAAACGCCACTGCATGAAATGAAACACGGTCACTTTCATTTTTTAAGTTAGCAGTGAGTGTGTTATTTGCAGGTTGTATCATCATCACCAACATGTCGATGCATAGGCTGGTAAATAGTATATTTGGATATAGCCACAACCATCTTCCAAGTTTCAAACCCAGTTTGAGTTTGCAAAAGGGGGCTTAACAATAATGGGTTTTCAATTTAAAATAAAGCAATAAAAACAAAACCCAAAATAAAAAGATACTATGTACTTTTATTTTTTTGTTTTTCTAGATACTATTGAGTATTGACTATTCATTGGGGAAAAAAAAAGTATTGACTATTCATTGAGTCCAATGTTCTTCCCGACTTTTCCGCATAAAAATCGATATGAATCCTACATGGGTATCATTCACGATCATAGAATCCAGTACATACGAGAAACTTGGAAAAAAAGTCCTAAAAGTTATTCTTGAAGGCCCTTTTCCAGTGACCTAAACTCCGTTGAATTTACATATTACTGTTTTTAATTTTTAAGAACCACATGATGAATAAATATCATGTTCCATTATTTAGGTATCAAATATTGAAATTCTGAATTTACAAGTTAGATAAATAAAATATATATGTTTAACAAAATGATTTTTCACAAAACTTGTTTCAGAATGAAATTGGGTGTGATCGCATTAAAATCTAGAAACATAAGAAGAAGTTGAATGAGGACATCATTAATGAACATATCTTTTAGATAAGGATATTCAACTTATAGGTAAGTTATAATCTTCGACCACAAAAATAATACAGAGACAAATGGTGGTTGACTGGTTGGTTGAGCAACTTTGACGTTTTTATGCGCATTTGAATAAAGAGTTATCTCTTGATTATATTATCCTTAAGTCCTTGTCTTGCTGTCCGATAAACCCAGGTATTCAACCTCTCACATCTTCCTCTCATTAAACAAACATCAATTTCAATTTCAGAACCCAATTCATCATCTTCATGACAACAATGGAGATGGGCACCAATCCAATACAACAGGAAACCAACCATGTGATCGGTATCTGGGAAGTGAACGAGGATCGCTTAGCCTCCATGCACAAGAAGATCTCAGAGCCTCCAAGACTCCTCAGCAATGCAGCAGGCAAACCGTCTTGCTGCATTTTCAGAATTCCACAGAGTCTGCTCGAGATAAACGGCAAGTCGTACAACCCCCAGATCCTCTCAATCGGCCCATACCACAGAGGGGAGCCACGCCTCAAGATGATAGAAGAGCACAAGTGGCGCTACTTGGGTTCCTTGCTGTCAAGAACAGAGGCCAAGGGGTTGACTTTAAACGATTATTTCAAGGCGTTAGAGCCACTGCAAGCTGAGGCCAGAGAATGCTACTCAGAAAGTATAAACCTCAGTACAGATGAGTTCATTGAAATGATGGTTCTTGATGGTTGTTTTATAATTGAATTGTTTAGGAAATTTGGGCGCTTGGTTAAGTTTGAGGAATATGACCCCCTTGTCAGCATGGTTTGGATAATATCATTTTTGGTCAGGGACTTGCTTAGGCTTGAGAATCAAATACCCTATTTTGTTCTTGAGGTCTTGTTTGATCTAACAACTTTGCCAGAACATAAAGACAATGGGAAAACACTCTCCTTGCTTACATTGGAATTCTTCAACCACCATATGCAGAGGCCTGACCATGTCATACAAAATCACCAAAATCTCACAGGTATGGTCTCAAATTTCGATACTAATACAGAACATAAAGACAATGGGAAAACACTCTCCTTGCTTACATTGGAATTCTTCAACCACCATATGCAGAGGCCTGACCATGTCATACAAAATCACCAAAATCTCACAGGTATGGTCTCAAATTTCGATACTAATACCCTTTTTTCGATGTTTCGTTTAGTACATTTTACGGGAAACTTGTTCATAATTTGTCTAGATTTTGTTTCTGTATTTTAATTAAACACCTTGCTTGTAGGCGTGCATTTGCTTGACTTGTTGCGCGCAAGTGTTATACCACCAGGCCATGATGAACCACATAGAGGCAACATTATCCCAACACATACCATTCATTGTGTTTCGAAGCTTCGCCGTGCCGGAATCAAGCTCAGACCGGGCGAAGGTGAGAGCTTCTTGGTGATCAAATTCAAGCGCGGAGTCATTGAAATGCCCACGATAACCATCGACGATTTCATGAGCTCCTTCCTGCTCAACTGTGTGGCCTATGAGCAGTGCCACAAGTCATGTTCCAAGCACATCACCACCTATGCAACATTGCTGGATTGTCTCGTGAACACATACAAGGATGTTGAGTACTTGTGCGACCGAAACATCATTGAGAATTGCTTTGGGAACGACGGGGAGGTTGCTCGATTTATTAACAATTTGGGGAAGGATGTGGCTTTTGATATGGACAGATGCTATCTGGCTAAGTTGTTCAATGATGTACACCACTATTATGGGAATAGTTGGCATGTTCAATGGGCTAGCTTCAAGTACACTTACTTTGACACTCCATGGTCCTGCATATCTGCCTTTGCTGCATTGATTTTGTTGATAATGACCTTGTTGCAGACCTTTTACACTGTTCTAGGTCATTACCAGACTTGAAAAATGAAAATGGTGTTTGATATATATGCATATGTAATAAGTCTTTGCCTATTAATCTTGAGGTTTTGATTCTGTAAACGGTTTAGAACATGATAAAATACTAACCGGTAAGTGCCTGAGCACGACTGATATAATAATTTCTTGTTGATCGTTGCTATGCTAAATTCTTGGAGTAAAATGATAATTTGATTGTAAACACTAAACACTAAGCATGCATTTTATGCAAGGCAAATATGACCTTGATGCTCTGTTTTGGGAAAACAGGGAAGGAAAAGAAAATAGGGAAA